GGAAATGGGAGGGCAGACAATCCACCTCCCTTCCCGTCTGCGCATTCAACCTTTTTATGTCATACGTTAGCGCTTTTTGTGTCGTGTAATTCATGTAGGCTGTAAAGTAGTCACCAATTCTTTGTACTATGGTGGATTGGATTACTCTCTCTCGAACCTCACAAGCTTCTCAGTGCGATCAACATTTGCGATTTTGTAGCGTTCCTAAAAGCACAAATGTCCCCAAACTTTATGTTTTCCTGCAGCAGTTTCCAACCGAAACATTTACTCCCGTCGGCATGGCCATCCAGTGTCGTCTTTTCTTTTCTTTTCCGATGAGCGTCGTCAAGTTAATTTTTGGTTTTCTGGTAGATGTCAGAGAGGCCGAGGAGATTCGAATCCGAATTTTGAATGAAACGACTTTGCCCTGTCTATCTTGTGAACAAAACTTGAGTAGAAGTAGATATGATTTCCCTGAACGGTCAAGCAAATTCAAATGTTTTGCTTCCATACATATGAGCATCATTATCTTCCGTTGGGTTCGCTAATCTGTTAAATAAATGTCTCATTACTTGATATACGAGTTGGTTCGACCACTAATCACAGCAACTAATACGAAATTAGGAACCAAATAGTAGATGTTTTTTTTCATTTACATACTCAAGGACCGTTTATCTTTACGCGTTTATTTCAGGGTTTGAACCAGCGTCTCGCTGTCTATTCGGACTTGTAGGTTCGTGTTTACAAGGTGTTCGGAGTCGAACGGATTTTCGCGTTATGGACGATCGTTTTGCAATCGTGAAAAGAGAAAAGGGTCCTTCCGAGGAACTCGAAAACCAGGAGATGTTTTGTACATGCTTAAAAGTACGTTTGGCTTTTGTTTCGAAAGGTCGACATGCCTATTTTGTTAATTTGTTGTTTCAGTTTTTGAAGCACATACAAATACAATGATGTTGCCCTAGTTTTTTTGGTTTTTCTTTTCCTAGAGTGTAGCTTCTCAGATTGTTAGCATCAACCTTCGTATCTCTTTTAATTGAGCGCTTGTTGTATATCTCCCTCTCTCTCTCTCGTTTTGGCTTTTAAGGGGACATTGACTATAGCAGATGTGCCACCTCTTATGCACCCAAATTCGAACCCTTTTTTTTTTTGCAGTTTAGTTATCGCTGTGTGTAAAATAAGATTAAAAGAAAATATTCTAACGACGTACAATTGGTTAAATGGTGCATATGTCACGTCCGGTATTCGGTCCAAGCTAAATTCGAGCAGGCGACACTTCACGTTACTTGTAAAGCAAAAGGTAACTACTTCCGAGTCTCCAAAACTGAAAATAAACAATTCATTACCATTTCTTACAATAGACCTCAAAATGAACTACAAATCTTCCAAAATTCATAACAAAGGTACAAAACATTAGTGTACACAGTGTTGTCGAAACAGCTATCTAAGGTCTTCCAAAAAGAAGGAAAATCTTCAAATAACATGTCAACTTCTCACCCAAGCTGATTTGAAAGGGAAGGGAAAAAGAGTGAGCTACAAAGTTCATTAAGTAATCTAAGGGCCTGTTTGGTATCTTATTTGAAAATTTTAAACATTTCTCAAAACATTTCTTAAGAACATTTCTTGAAAACAATTTTCTTTAAAACTCAAAAACTTGATTGGTTTGCAATTTAAAATTTTTAAATCTTACGACTTAAACTAGACAAAGAGATCTAAAAAGATGGGGTTACAGGAGAGGGAGAAAGAGAAGAGAGGAGGAAAGAAAGTAAGAGATGATTGAATGAAAGAGAAAGAAGAGAGATGATCAGACGAGATAGAGAGGACGAGGGGTGAGAGAAAGAACCGAGAGAATGAAGATAGCGGATTGGAGGAGAGACGAAAACGGTAAAAAAAAAAAAAAAAGAGGAGAGAGATAGATTTGGAGTGAGAGGGGAAGAGTGAGAGAAAATAAAGGAGTGAGTTTAAGTTTAAAAAGTTTTGAATTCAGTTTTTGAAAATAATCTTATCAAACAAGTTTTTAAGGTCTGAAACTTGAAAATTGTTTTTGAGTTTTAAAAATTGAATCCAAGTAAAGTACCAAACAGACCTAAACAATTGAAAATCGAATGATAGCTCAATAATAAAGTAGCTTACAGATACACTAAGCTTGAAATCTAACAGTTGAGTTCCTTAGCTTAAACAAATCACTCTCAAACTCTAACCTCTCAGTTTTGGTTCTGAAATAAGCAAAAATGGGCTGAGAGAAGCAAAAGCTGTTAATAACAAGAAGACAACTATCTTTAAGCAACTGGTGGAATGTTGCTTCAGCTGCAGTTTGCTTGTCAAGAGCAAAAGCTGGTAATACTTGAAAGAATTTACTATTAAAAAAATAATTGGAACGAAATCCTGTTTTCACAAAAGAAGAAACTAGATCACGTTTCAATGATGAACCTTTGCACATAAGAGTCAGAACATAAGACTTTCAACTTATAAATAAGATGAATACTACTAAATCCTAGTACCGATGTGTTTGGGCCCAAAATATTATTTTGGGCCGAGCTTAGAATCATTCTCGGCCCGGTGGCATTCATCTAGAATCTTGTTATGGGCCGTCCAGTTAAGGTCGGCCGAATCCTATTACGAAGAGGTTTGGTTTGGATAAGTGTGAGTTGGTCGAATCCTAGTGCAACAAGGATTCTTAAGGCTAAGGATGCTGAGAATTAGGGGATGAATTTGGTTTGTTAAGAAGCTTAGATCAAAGTCTTATAGGAATTAGGATTGGCCGAAACCTAGTCAAATTGGGTTGAGGAGTTCTAGTCCTAGTCCATTTCTAGTTCGGCCATGAGGGGATTCACTACTATAAATAGAGAATGGAGTGCATCATTCAAGGCCTCTCCAATTCAACACTCAAATTGCCATGCGCAAAATTTCTCTACAACCCTGAAATTTTCTCCTCTCCCTTTTTCTTCCCACCAACACATATTCAGTTTGGATAAACAACACTAGATTCATAGAATTAGTTGATCGAGGAGCACCTTCAGTTTAGATAAATAGCACTGCTTTGAGGCCGACTGGTTATTTATCCAAGACTCGGTCGACAAGGATTTTCGGATCCTTTTTGGTAGAGGTCATCTCATTAGCCTTCTCGCCGAAGTGAGGTGTTACAAGTTACTAGGCTTGGCACATTGAAAGCCGAGTTTTGTTTTATGATTGGATATTCACAAGTATTTTTTAGAGTTCGACATTCCGATGCTCGAACCACATTTACAATCAAGACGTATATCTCTTTTGAGTACTTGTATCCATATAGTTTGGTATGCTTATACTTTCACAAATATAATCACTGTGACCGAACCCGGCGCCGACGATTTGTGAACTTCGTAGAACTAGCAGTCTTGTCTTCAAGCTTTAGAACCCAAAGGTCGAAACGTGTTCCTTCCTCGGCCGCAGTTGCAATATTGAGAAGTCAGCAACGCGTCTAACGCGATATCAACACATTCTACTCCCCGGCTGAGTTCGGCCAACGAGTTAGCACGCCCCGCACATAATTGAAGGATATAGTTAGTTTATTAGTTACTCGGCCTGCGCACCACGTAAGCTTGGTAGTTTTTAAGGTCAACAGAATGACATAATAAGTTCATATTGTTGATTGAAATTGAGACTTTCTTTTATTTGTTGAAATATTGGGACCTATTGTCTTAACTTGGCTCTAGGTTTTGGAGCCACAAAATTCTAGCTTCACCTTAATTGAAGACTTTCAAAAAATTGGCATGCAGAATAAGGTTAAATCAAATTCATCCAAGAAGTAATGTAACAGTAGTGATTGTCATGACCAATTGGTGGTATTTAGCGCCATATAATTACATGATGGAGAAATAAATTGGTATTGAACTCGTCATCTATGTGAGTTAAACACGAGATTTTTCGTTTATAAGAAGAAAAAAAAAAATCACTAAATCATAATATTAATTGGTATAATACCAGGAGGTTCGAATTGAAAAAAAGAAGAAGAGCGTACCAAAATGTATTTTAGTGAGCCACACAGCTGGAATTTACTACCTTGGTATTAGAGATGGTTGTAGTTTCTTTCCATACAATGGTATTTACAAAAAAAAAAAAAAATGGAAGAGTAAATTAGTATCAAATCATTCACAAAATTAAAATTAAAAATTTCCGATTTATAAATGAATGAAAATATTATTAAACGGTAAAACTAAGTGACTTGCTACCATTAATACTCAGAACATGATACTTTTCAAATTTTATGGTGCTTTACTTAGAAGTTAGGACATGGGACTTCTTTATGACAATTTGAGTATCCAATGCTCTGAATAGTTTATTCATTAAAAATACATAGAAATCAAGATTAGACGGTTAAAAAGTCAAACATAAAAAGGTTAAAATCGTAGAATAGCATATACTCTAGCACATAATTTTTTAATTTTTTTTTTTGGGGGAAACACATAAAATTTTTTGGAAGGACATCATATATTGGGATAATTGGAGCAATATTTCTTAAATTTTAACTCGATTAGAATTTTAGTTCCTGAAATGAAAATTCGTAAGTATTTTACTATTTTTTATAAATCTCTTACAAATACTCATGTATTTTTAAGTCAACCCAGAACTCCATTATTTTTTCTTTGAATACATTGATATTTTTATACTAAGGAGAGAGGGAGTTCGGCTAAGCCACACAATAAACAACTTAATTTGGTATCAAATTTGTTATCCATGACATTCGAATCTAAAACTTTTCATATTTAATTGTAATATTATTATTAATACTATTGCACCAATTTTCTCTAAGATGTGATATCCACGCTCAATTTTACTTTTTATATACCTTTTTAATTTTCGACCGTTAAATCGAATGAATTGAAGAAGCTCATCGACAGAAATTATCAAGCTGTGTAAAAATAAAATGGGATGCGTGCCTCTTTTCTCTATATCGCTGTAGAACATTCGACAGTGAGTTTAGGCAGCGTATATAAACGCGTCCGCGCCATCGCAGTAGAAGGCACCTGAAAGGCTGAAAGAGAAAGCGAGAGTAAGAGCTGAATCTGAGAGATGAATTTGGAGGCAGTGGGTGATCTTGCGCTGCACATAATCCTCAGCAAGTTAGGAGCGGAAGACTCAGCGAAAGCAGCATGCGTCAGCACCAAACTCAGAGCTTCCGCCTCCGATGAATCCCTTTGGTCCCTTTTCTGTGCTCGAGACCTTCACCTCTCGCAACCCCTCGACCCCCTTGGCAACCTCGCCCCTTCTTTCAAGGTCAATTTCTCACAAACTTTTGGCCTTTGAATTCAGATTTTTATGTATGAATCGTATATATATTCACACAATTTTCCAACTTTTCTTCCGATTTCTTATGTATATCAGTGTATGTGATCATGATCAAATGAAAAAATGTTGAATTTTCAGTCTGGTTTGTGGGTTAGTGTTTACTTCTGTGTTTTGGGTTCTGGGTTGGTTTTATAGGGACCTCTCATTTCTCTCCAAAGTTGTTAAAAGATTGAAATTCTTCCAATTTGATTCGGGTCGATTGTATTTGTGGACATTTCATAGGAAATACATCATAGGCTTTTGCACAGACTGCGTATTAACATGACGGATTGATCGGTTGGGAACTTGGGTTGAAGACTCAAATTTTAAGGGTCTAGTTAAAATAATAGTGTGGGTAGTGGGTAGGGGTTTGTTAGGTTCAAATTTGCTTCTCGATTCTAAATTCGAAACATACTTTAGCGAGTATTGTTTCTTGAGCGTCTATAGGATGACCGAGAGCTGATATGTGCAGTCTCATGGTCTTTAGATGTCTACTTATACTTTTTGTGCAGTTCTTGCGGTAAGCTTCTCAGTTTTTTTGCTTAAATACATTGTACATATCATATTTGGTCCAAAACTTGTAGCACCGCTGTGAGACATGGCTTGATTTCCAAGGAATATAGTCCTTTTTCGCTTGATCCATGTTTGGGGCCATCACCTAATGGCTTAATTCTTTGAGGTCTAGTTATCGTCCAACTTGGTATCAGAACTTTGATTTGTAGAAGGTCCTGGATTCTAAACCTCTAAACACTGTTCCCCACTTCTTTTGTTGGGTTTCAAGGTGCAGGGTGGGGAGGTACTTATATGTCTTTCTCTGTTTACATTTCTTTGCCTCTCACATGCAGAACGGGGCTGCATGTGATGGCGTGTTAACATGATATACATATTTTGCTAAATTTCCTAGCAGCTTCACTATTTTGGTGTGTATGATTGTCTAAAACTTCATGGAGCTCTGTAGCCGTGAAGATTTCATGGATCATATTTCGAGTAGCAGGGTTGACACCTTTTTGAATTTGTTATATATTTAATATCTTGTCAAATAATATTATTTTTAATAACACACCTCCTCTCTTCAGGAAAGTTACCAACTATGGCGTGTATCTTTTAAAATGTATCCTTGGTCGCTTGTAAAGCGAGTCAAAAGATGCTGGGACAAAATTAGAAACTGGTTGACTATTAATTTTCCAGAGGCTGTTTCTACACTGAAAAAGGGTGCATCAGAAGCTAATATACAAGAGGTGGAGAAAATCTTGAAAGTGAAACTTCCTCTTCCAACAAGGATCCTGTATCGTTTTCATAATGGTCAAGCTTTTGAGGAAAAACATTTTCAAAATAGCCTGGTTGGCTGCCCATTGGGCCTCATAGGTGGTTATGCATTTTATGACCACTCGGTAACTGTGTATTTGATGCCTTTACGTCAGGTAGTCTTAGAAACAATGAAGATCAGACGTAAACTGGGTTTTACTGGTAGATCAGAATATGTTGTTGTGGCGGATTCTTGTACATATAGCGGGAAGTTATTTTTCCTGAACTGTACAAGTGGTCAACTCTATGTTGGTACCAGAAATCTTCCAACTGATGGGCAAATGCTTCCTTGCGTACCAGATGCGTTGATAAGTTCAATTCATGATTGCAATGTTGATCAACAGCAGGATGGCATGCTGCTTTGGTTAGAAGAGCATGGCCGTCGTTTAGAAAATGGCATTATTAAACTTCGTCAAGAAGAAAATTTCAGAACCATCAGTCAGTTTCCAGAAGAATCCCCTCTTTGTTCCACTGCTATAACAAATGGCGTAAAGGTAGTCAATTGTGTGTATTTTTTCGTTCGCATGTCTTTGAAAGTGTGCAATCCTTTGCATAATGATTTCCTTTTATTTCCTCTCTCTTGGGGCTAGTCAAAAACAAATAAATATGGAAAGTATATGTCGTGGTTGATGTATATTGGAATGAACAGATTTAACTTTGTTTCATGGGCATTTGCATTGAGAATCGCCTGATTGTAGATTGTTACTGTGCCTCAATTGAAGTCAGCAAACCCACATTTAGTTCCTCATTACCTCTTTTCTTGATAAATAAGCAGGTAATATCTACGCTGTTAGAAGGTGCCAATAGTTTCCAGATAGAAAATATCTTAGGGACCTCACATGTCAGACATGAGCTGGAAAGCTGGATCCAAAATTTGTTTTGCTTGCGACCTCCCTCATTTTATGGGGGACTTTTAAGTTCTTAAACATTACTATGCATGCTTATAGTTTTATTACTTGTTCTAAAACGCTATTGGTCTTTCCATTCTTCTTACAAAATACTGTTCGTCACAGTGATTTGTTTGACAGTAATTCTGAATGCAATTACATGAATGACTACTTTAACTTTTCAATTGCAATATAAATATTTATACCATGATTTTTGTTTTAGGTTCGTGCTTCTGCTGTGTTTGTCCCAGAGCGTGCTGATCTTGAAAATACTTCTGAAAAGTATACATTTTCTTATTCGATCCGCATGTCCCTTCTTCCTGAAGGATGTGTGATTAATGGAATGCCATTCAGCTCTTGTCAGTTGAATTGGAGGCACTGGATCATTCGTTCTAATGATGTTGTGGTAGCTGATGTTGGAGGAGAAGCTGTTATTGGACAGGTACGATTTCACTTGGTCAGTTGCTTCCATTATCAGATTATTTTTCCAGAATCTAATTGAATCACTCTTCTTCCCTTTAGTAGATAGACAGTTATCTACCTTTCAATGGAGGGGTGTTTAAAGACATGACCCTATAAATGTATTTCAAACAATTTCTTTTAAACAATCTGCTGATGCCATGTCATAGTTACTAGTCCTAATATCTGCTTAATCCGTATAGCTCACTTGGCTGAGGTGCGTTACTCTTACCAGAAGACTTATTTTCCTTCTAAACCATGCAGATTTTTTTATAAAAGAGAAATGCTAGCCAGATTCACTCAAAAGCGAGTCCGGAAAGACTCTCCATACATGCGTCCTGAATTAAATTAGACATGGGTCGCACTATTAAAATAATTCAAAGATAAAAGTGCAATTGAAAATCATAATTTCTCTGTCCTTCATCACTCTCCCTCTCCTTCCTGATGGACGAAAAAAAAACCATTAATTCCCTGCAAAAATTCCAGTAAACTCAAACCATGAATTGGTAACCATGGCTGCCAAAATTCCAGTTCTCTATTCCACCTTCTCATGGTTCATCATCTAGCAGATCTGCGGTTTGTATATGCCGCCGTCTCAAATCTCACCATTAATGTTTTAATATTAATTTATATTTCTCAAATTCACAAGATTGAAAGAATTAATATATGATGCTCAAACCCATTTTAGCTTTCATTAACTACCTAAACCAATTTTGGTGATGAGAAAGACAAAAGGAAAAATTAGTTCTTCTATATTGATCTGAGTTTTCAGATTGGGAAATTTCCGGGTTTTACATTCATGGAGGAGGACTTCATGTTGGGGTGATGGCGGTGATGGTACATCTGCCGTGATGCAAACAGAGGAGAAGCGAGGAGGAAGGTGAAGTGAGTTTTAATCCAGTGAAGATGAAGAGAAGATGCTGTTAAGTTTTTCAGTGAGGTGATAAGAAAAGATGCTGGAGAGGAGAGAAAAATAAAATTTTAATTTTAATCGTAACAATGGTGGGGCCCATATACAGGATTGATGCATTAGAGAGGGAGTATACGTGGCGGGAGAGTTCGGGGAGACTCGCTTTTTGACCAAGTCCCCGCAGCATTTGTCTTTATAAATATAGCACGTTGGATACTCTGAGAATTTAGGGGCTGTTTTGTATCCTATTTTAAATTTTTTATCATTTCTTAAAACATTTCTTGAAAACAATTTTCTTCAAGACTAAAAAACTTGATTGGTTTGCGATTTAAATTTTTTAAATCTTACGACTTAAACTAGACAAAGAGATTTAAAAAGATAGGGTCGCAGGAGAGGGAGAAAGAGGAGAGAGGAGGAAAGAACGATCACTTGGTGGATAGAAGCAAGGATAAGGGAGCATAGGTGTGGTTAATTTAATGAGAAAAATAAAGCATTTATTGGGAAGTCGTTGTGGAGATACCCTTTGTAAGCTGACTCTTTGTGGCATAAGGTTGATAGGAGTAAGTATGGAATTGCTACTAATGGTTGGATTGCCAAATCCATGCTCAGACATCAAGGCAAACCCCTTGAAAATATATTTCTCAAGGTGTATCTTATCATTTTAGTCATTTTTATGGAGTCAAATATAAAGCTTTTTCAGGAACACTCGGGTGGGTGATGGTGAGCATTGAAATTTTAGTTTTTGTCTACATTTCTTTAGAATTTAGGAAGCCTTCCTTGTCAGCATTGCTGCTGTGAATTGATGTGTTGTGGTTTGGAAGTCTAATTCTTAATTGTCATGTATATTGTTTAGGCAGTTAGAGTGAGTGATTTAATTTGAGAGTGGACTCCTCCACAATTGCACTTTTGACTTTTTTAATAAATTTTGGGTTCCACTTGAGAAGAAGAAAAGTAGACAAGTGTTAAAATTATTTTGGAGGTCACACTTCTGATTGTAATATAAACGACGCATGAAAAGAGAATAAATTTTCTGTTAGAAATCTTATACTTATACATGTTTGCAGTACCCACTCTTGCGTCCAGGTGAAGAGGAATTCGTTTATGAGAGTTACTCTTGTCTACCATCTTCTTCAGGTTCTATTGAAGGTTCTTTTACATTTGTCCCTGGCAGGTACTTGACCTAAATTCCTGTACAACAACTTTTATGTTTTCTTCCTAAGTAGATTACGTGGCACCCAAAATGTGATTGAAAGCATATTTTGTTTTGTTTGGACCAAGATTGAAAAGCATCGTATTGTGGTTATATACAACCTTGGAGCACTGGCGGTTCCTTTGCTTGAACTGATTCAGCTATTTCTTTATTCCCGTGATAAAAAGAAAAGGGTTTTTTTGCCTGTTTAGATTTTGTCCTTGCCAATGAAGAGACGGAAATTAATATGTGATTTTTTCTTTCCACTGTAATTTTTCCTTCTTCAGTTAGCACCTGGGGTTTTAGTTCAGATTTTAAGATTGGTGCATGATGCTTATGACTCTGATTTTGGGCATGTTTGAGACTGCTGAAAGGGCCAAAACTGTTTTCTGATAACCAAAAGTGCTTATGATCACGTTTGGCAGAAAAAACTTGAAGCTTTTGCTAAGTAATTATGAGCAACAGTGTTTCCTGTCGAAGCATTCCCAAATAAGCCCCTAGTTGACCCATACTCTCAGCCTGTTGAGTTGTTGGTTTAAAATTGGGATGATCGAGAACTTTACTTGGAATGTAGAATCTCTAAGGAATTGCTTTAACCCATAATGTAGAGTAGAAATAGCATCGAATTGAATTCATGGAAAAGCCAAACCAACATATTTTAGCTGGATATTTTTATAAGTGTAGTTTTGGACAAGAAATGGGGTAGTTAGACGAGTAATAAGAGCAAGAGAGAAGAGGCTAACCAAACTCCATAAAGCCAGGACTTTATGTTTTGTCATTCGGAGCTACATAGGAGCAACTTCCACCATATCAAAAGTAGTTATGTTGAAGGACGTTCCTACTTGGCTGATCTTTCACCAACTTGATTTTTCTGTATCACGAACTTCGAATTTTTCTAGTTTGAATTCCGGTTGTTAGCCAAAATCTGTATGAACATATCAATTATGACTCTTGTGTGCATAAAATCTATTTTGTAACAATCATAGATATACATATTAAGTTTGCCACTCCACTCTGTTGAAAGGCTTTATGGAAGCAATATCATAAGTATATCATTTGATAGTTGTAACTTGTGTTGTGTCTCTGGTTTTAGTTTGAGGGTGCCAAAGGGTGGCCCGTTTGAGGTTGCAGTGGCACGGTTTCCCCTCCAGCTGCCCAACTACATCTTCTGATGATCGGAATGCAGGATTGGCATATTACAAATGGCAGCTCTAGTTCAAGGATCATCTGTTGTGTGCCCGCGTGTATGTATTTATAAATTCAATATTTTGTGTGTTTGAAAACTCTACATTCTCCCTGGTAAACAGTACTGTAGTATAATGACAACCTATTTATGTTACGCGTCAAGAGGAGCAAACTCGAGCACTTCTTAAAACTGAATCCTTGTACAGAATCTACGGATGATAAAATCAAGTTCAAGTGCATGGTTTGAATTGTTTGGACCTGGTAATTTTTTTACTTCTCAGACACCCTTGTTTAATCTTGACCGTGTTTCTGTTTGATTTATTTAAACTGATGGTGAGGGTGCGTGAGGGTTCGAGTCAAACTTTGAAGTACTCTAAATCAGGTTTGTTGGGCTTGATTGGAGTCTTATTTTTGCTGTTGCTTGTTGGTATGATGGGAAGTAGAGATGTTCTTAAGGTTTTTGACCTGGATTTTTGCTTCCCCAATGGTCCTGCTGTGATTGTATTCTGCAATATGCCCAAAATTGGTTCAAGGCTAACGTACCCTTGAATAATAGGCCACTAAGGTGCAGTTTGGGATTGAGGTGATTAAAATAAAAGGAAAACTAATGAAAAGGGCTTGAAAACTTTGAGTTTTAATGATAAGGACAAAATAAAGGGTAAAGTGAATAGTACCAGGATTGATTTTTTAGTGTAAAAATGTGGTTTTTCGTTAAAGTGAACAGTACCAGATGCTTTTCGTTAAAATTCCCTAAAATAAAAGCTGGTATGAAAAAAAGCTGGGGTTTTCTTTGTGTTTGGTAAACATTCAACTTCAGCTTTTTTTTCACAGTTTTGGATGAAAAAAAGCCAAAAACAAGAAGCTGCAAAACCCAGCTTTGAAAAATCGGTTTTTTTTTCACATTTGTTTTACATAAAAGTTTACCAAACATTATAATACTGTTTTTTTTTTCAAAAGCATTTTTACAAAAAAGTTTACCAAACACTTTATAACTTTATTTCATAGCCGTTTATTTTCACAGCACAGTAAGAGCAGTTTTTTTCAAAGCACAACAATACCAATCCAGCCCTAAGAACTGAAGTGAAGCTCTCTTAGCTTGGGTGAGGGGGTCTTAGTAGGGATTGGAAATCTGATTGAATTTTGGATTCACTGCTCACCTAGGTCGTCGTACCCAGTGCACAAGGCTCCCGCTTTACGCAGGGTCTGGGAGAGGTGAATGTCGGCTAGCCTTACCCCCATTTATGGAGAGGCTGCTCCCAAACTGCTCACCTAGGTGCAGGAGCAATTTTACATGCTGAGTTATGGTCACTGCTCAATCTTGAAATTGGCTATGGGTAAATAATCACAGTTACCTGCATGCCATAATCATTGCAGAACCCTAACTAGGAGTCTAGGACACAACTTCAAGCTTGCTTTGAATCCAATTCTAAACCGCAAATGAGGGTTGCATAGTATATAGCTTGAGAGAGTAGGAAAACATGATGTGACCGATGAAAAAAGGCAACGCGAGATGAACATGAGAACAGAAGGGGAAGCGTACCATTTTTTTTTGTGGAACTTTAACGAAAAGCTCATGCTACTGTTTACTTTAACGAAAAACCACATTTTAACACTAAAAAGTCAATCTTGGTACTATTTACTTTACCATTTGTTTTGTCCTTATCGTTAAAACTAAAAGTTTTCAATTCCTTTTCATTAGGTTTTTTTTTTTTTTTTTTTTTTTTTTTCATTCCTTCTGAAAACAAGAGTAAATTACAATGAGATCTTATGACTAAAATGTACACATCAGCTATAACAGTAAAAAAAAATATCACACTAATATTTTCCAACCGAAGTGCCAAATTTTATGTTGCGATGACATGGATTGGCAGCAAAAGAGGTTGCTGTCAAATTTGACAGCAGCTTCAAATGTTTTTATTTATTAATTATTAAATGTATTTTATTAATTTTTAATTAGTTTAATCATTTATTATAATTAATGTTGAGTTTATGGATATAATTATCCTACTTTTTTCTTCTTTTCAATCAAGGAAGATGAACAAATTACAAATTAAATTTTAAATGTTTTTTATTAAATTTTAATTAGTTTAATAATTTATTTTATAAAATAATAAAATAATAATTTAATTTGACATATCGGTTGGAGAACAAAACTTTAAAAGATGTTAAAGTATCACATAAACGGTCAAAATTTAAATTTTATGTTCAAAATTTGACATCTCGTTTGGAGATGGTCTTATTCCATACAAATCAAATGTTAACCTACATAATATTATATTATGAAAATTGTTAAACCAAACACTTCAACGAGATCATAAAACGGCCACACGTTGCTATTAAACACAAATTTACTGTTGTTTTTTATCATCTTAGTTACATTACAAAAACACTACTATCATCAAACACAAACCAGTTGGAAATGTTTTCATTTTCAAAAACTGCTCTCAGATTAAACTACCAGACGCACGCATTTTCAAATCATAAAAATGCAAAATTCTGTCCTTTTTGTTTTACAAAATAGTTCTTCAAAATCGTTTTCTAAAACATTACCATACGAACCTAACTTATTTCTTTGATCGCAAATTTTATAACAGGTTGTAAATAGCTTTTCAAGGAACAAAGGAGAAATCGTATAAAATATCCAATCAATCAAACCCATATGATTTGCTGGAGGTTTAATGTCAAAGCTCTCAAGAGTTAGCTACACTTAGCATTCGTTTGGAAGTGTTTTTAAAATAACTGAAATTGTTTTTTATGAGAGTGTTTTTAGAACCAATCATTAGTGAAAGTGCAAGTAAATCTTGAAATGTGCTTATTGTAGAAAGCACCTCAAGTGCTTTTGGAACCCAGAAACACTTTCACCAATAGCACATTTAGTCATTTTAAAAGCATTTCCAAACAAGCCCTTAATTTATTGACAATGTTCAAAAATCAATATATGTATATTACAAAAACGAACACAAGTTAAGAATATTGAGCCATTCGATATTTAGTATCGAAATGTTTTTTCCCTTCTTGTTTTGATACAACCAGATATTACAATAAATGAGAGAGGGACTTATATACCATGGGTATAACACTACGATGACATCTTGTGCTAATTAAAAAATAACATACATAAATTTTTGTCTAAATATACTTGTTTTATTTGGTGAAAGAAAAACAATATCAAACAGAACCTTAGCCACACTCGACTATTGGCACCATCTCCATACCCCTATCATTGCTGCCATCACCATCGATGCCCCCATTGTTGTCACCGCCACCGCCACAACCACTACCATAATTGTCACCACTTCTACTAATCACCATTGCTACCTCCTCACTCCAACCATCACGCTCTACTATTGACACCACCACTATAACTCCACCATTGTCCCTATCATCACCCCCATAATTATATACAGTTATATTACTCATGTTAAAAATTACAAAGCGCTTTAATATTACTTTTCATAATCATAACGCTTTTAAAAATATAGGTTATGCAACGTTCAATTGCTTTATTTTATAGATAACTTAAACGCAATAAACACACACACACATACGCACACATATATATATATTTTTGTTTTTAACAATCGGTATTATCTACAGCAAGGAGGGGGATCAATAATATGGTTCAAATTTGCATTTGGTGAGAATCGAATATAAAACATCTTACTTACAAATGAAAAGAAATACAAATAGATCGGTGGACTAAGGCCATCTCCAACCGAAGGCTGGCCAGAGGGCTCGTTTGAGCCCTCTAACCCTCCAAGATTCCCAAGATATTAATATTTTAATGAACAGTACAGGGCCATATTTGCCTCCGTCTCCAACCGAGGGCCAGAGGGCCAAAGGGCTCGTTTTAGCCATGTCACAAAAAACCGTCTCCAACTGAGGGCCAAAGGGCCATAGGGCCAAACATAATTTATTATTTAAAAACTACAATTTAATGTTGTATAAATGGCCTAGGAAGTTATACGAAAAAAATAGAATTGAAACAAAATATGAAACAAATTTTGTGAAATAAAAGTTATAGGAAAAAAAATATGAAACAAAATTTGATTCATATGAAAAGGAAAAAAAAAGGGGAAAAAAGAAGTTTACATTCATTAAAAAAAAAAAGAAAAAAGAAGTTTAAATTCATAAAAAAAAAAAACAAAAAAAACAAGAGACCTAATAATACAACGGCTACTAGCCGTTATATTAAAAAACATTTCAAACTATTAGTGTCGGTTATAACCGACACTAATAGTAGAACTATTAAAAAAAAAGAATATCTTTAATGCTGTCGGCTATAACCGATAGCAATAGGAAATCATTAAAAAAAAAAATAGCCAGCCCGGGGCTGGCTGGCTGGCCGAAAGCAGCCAGCCCTCCAGCCCTCTCCGATCCCGTGGGGCCCTCCCAGATTCCAGAGCCCTCTGGCTTAGCCCTCGGTTGGAGACGGTTTTAGGGCTATTTTCAGCCCTCTGGCCCTCTGGACCCTTCGGTTGGAGATGGCCTAAGTAACATAGTTTTTTAGGAAAACTAATGAAAAGGGTTTGAAAACTTTGAGTTTTAATGATAAGGACAAAATAAAGGGTAAAGTGAATAGTACCATATTTGACTTTTTAGTGTAAAATGTGATTTTTCGTTAAAGTGAACAATATCGTGGGCTTTTCGTTACAACTCCTTATTTTTTTAAGCAATGAGTTTTTAGCTACGATTAGTCGTCACGTCGAGTTCTCGTGTTATCACCGCACGTGAGACGCAAGGTTGATGTGGAGCGATCTGAGGGTCGGATTGTTTTTATATGCAATCCTGACCGTTGAAACAAAGCTACGGCCAGGGTTTGACGGCTATGAGCCACCATACGCATAAACCCCTCACCCTAATTCTGACCTAAAACCCTCCCCTCTCCTCTCCTCTCCTCTCGTCAATTTTGTTTGAGCTGCCTCCCTCCCTCGTTCAGTCAAATCCTCCTCTCCCCCGCCATTGAAGCTCTGCTGCCAAAGCTCCCTTTCACCCACTGCAAAACAGTAAGTCCTCTTCAAACTCTCTCTCTCTCTCTCTCTCTCTCTCTCTCTCTCTCTTCAACGACTGAAGTGAGCCAGTCTTTGCTAATTATGTGGTTAAACTGTGATTTGATTGCTTCTGGATTAATTTATCACTTTTCCTCCAGTTAATATCAAGCTAAGAACCCTAATATTGGAATTTTTGTCTTTCCATCACAGCTTTAATGGCCATCTCTGCCCAAAATAAGAGAAAGGGTCCGAAAGCAAACAAGGCTTCCCCCAAAAAGAGGCAAAAGAAAGGGTCTTTCGCCCCTAAAACCCCGAAGGAACCTGAGCTTTCGGACCATTACGAAAGCTCGGATGAACAAGAGGTAGAGGAACAACATGTAGAATTTGATGGAGATGAGGCAGGGTCTGGTTCAGATTCCGACAGTCTTTTCGGTGATGATCCCCTTGCTGATGATGATGCTTCTCTCCAAGGAAGTGACGATGATGGTATCCGGCTTTTTATTGTTTTCGTGCTTCGGTTATTGTCTGTTGTGCTTTTAGTTCTTTGATAGTTGAATATCATATATCATTGTGTTGTTATGTTGGTGCAGCGAACGGTTCAGGTTTGGGTTCTGATTCAGGTTCTGATTCAGATGAATCTGATATTGAGAAAAAATCAAGACTTATTGATGAGAAGAGGACAAAGGAAGAAAAAGAAGGTGAAGAGGAACTGCAGCTAAACATTAAGGAAGAATCTGATGAGTTCAGATTACCAACCCAAGAGGTTATTGTTGGACCGCATTATGTTTTTGCAAACAATGGGAATATTAATTAACATTTTAAATTAACAGCTGATATATTCTACTTCATGCTTAACTTAACTTGTTTACTTAATGATAATAGGAACTGGAAGAAGAGGCACATCGGCCTCCTGATCTTCCAAATCTCCTGAGGAGGATAAAAGAGAGTAAGCATGTCTTAGGCTTTTGTATTTTTAAAATTAAAAAAATTCTTGATTATTATTATTATTTTTTAAATCTAAGCTTAACATTTATATCTAGTTGTTCGAGTGCTCTCAAACTTCAAGGCTTTGAGGCAAGATGGGGCACCAAGGAAGGATTATGTTGAGCAGCTTAAGAGGGATTTAATTTTGTACTATGGCTACAATAGCTTTTTAATTGGGGCTTTAGTAGAGGTGATTGATATATATCTTCACATTGTCTTGTTTTTGTATCAATTCTGCAATGATCTTTTCTTACTTTGTTTGGTTCAGAAACTTATGAGTATCTTATTCTGTTATCTAGATGTTTCCGGCTGTTGAGTTGGTGGAACTCATAGAAGCTTTTGAAAAACCTCGACCAATGTGTCTCCGAACTAATACGCTAAAGGTGACAGAATATTATAACATATTGAACTTGTGAAATGTGACTTGTTTTTATGTTTACCCTCAGTATTTTGCATATTTTAAATTGATGTTTTCCATTGTGCTTAGACACGAAGGAGGGATTTGGCAGATGTTTTAATCAACAGAGGAGTAAACCTAGCTCCCTTAAGCGAGTGGTCGAAAGTAAGGACCATCTCATCTATGTATTTTTCTTAGCTGTCTTTTTCATCTTCTATCTCTTATCAAGATTAATGAGACTGTTCATATTGTGATTGCAGGTTGGATTGGTTGTGTATGATTTTCAAGTTCCAATTGGTGCCACTCCTGAATATATGGCTGGTTATTACATGGTACATGCTTTACGATTTAGCATTATATTGTGGTGCTCGTTTCAATTGTCATCCTTCAAGTGATTTGCTTACTGTTAATTTGTTTGCTCAGCTGCAAAGTGCAAGCTCCTTTTTGCCTGTCATGGCCCTTGCTCCTCAAGAAAAGGAACGAATTGTTGATATGGCGTAAGTAATTTTCTTTTTTACTTTATTTTGCTTATCTACTTTCCTACTAATGATTTATCATTATTTGATCATTCTTAAATTTAACTTTCACAATACCTTAAGAAGATATCATTGGTTACTATGTGTATGCCGCACCTAATATATACCTGTCTGCTTAACAGATGCTATGCTCCATTTTAGAAGTTCTTCCTGCTGTAATTGGGGGTCTGATTAGCGAAAACTGAATTAAACAATGTGCTTAAAATTTAGGGTTAAGAAGGAATTAAACTTTTTACTAGAACATCAAGTATAAATAGAAGAAACCTGGTCTGTTTTATGGGTTATCTTCTCTGAATGTAAGTCATGTAACCTCGCTCTTGCAGGGTGTGCTTGAGTGAGAGAATAAATTCTGTTCATGTTTTGAAGTGTTAAATTTCCTTAGGATTCTGGATTACTAAGCAATTATGTGCTTGGCATCATCGTCATGCTTGCATGCCCTGTCAGTGTCATGTAATAAGAACAGATTGGTTTAATTGTCTTGAACATTATACTCCAACTACTACCACAGTTGTATTCTCCGTTGTGATAACACCTTTTGTCCCTTTGCAGCGCTGCACCTGGTGGTAAAACAACTTATATTGCCGCTCTAATGAAAAATAGTGGTATGTGGAGTGATGCAATTGATGAATGACATGTTATGCTGTAGTAAGCTATTATCTGCATCCATTCTTTTCACATGTTGTAATTATTTTTCATATCCTGGATTTGATTTTGACTTTCAGCCCACACAACACCGTGACAACATTTCATCTTTCATTATTTTCAGTTTCCTTCTTTTATTTATTTATCCTGCTCTTCTTTTGATGTACTTCTATGTTAATGTGAAAGCATGGTTAGTTAAGTTAGTATGGACCTTGATCCCAAATATATGTGCTGATGCTCGCATTTGAACTTGTGAGGTGTTGTGTATGTGTCTGCATGTGGTGAAAAGCCTTTTGCATGATAACAGTAGACATGCTTTTTAGCGTCTTTTGAACCATTTCATGCGAGGATATCGCCCTTTGGTTCATTTCATCACATTATCTATGATAATTAATTCTTACGTGAGAAAATCTCTGTTAAAATTTCCATTTTGTGCATCCGTCTTTAATCCTCTACAAATCCTTTCAAGTGTACAAATGCATGATCTAGCATCTTACATATACTTCAAATGTATAATGATATTGCTTAAAAGAACAAAAAGAAGTGAGAACATTAAGATCAAGATGTTGGTGCCATATTTCCCTCATATGCGATTTTTAGTCCTTTTTTTTTTCAGAACCTGTAGAAGCTCCACCTATCTGTTCTATTGGTTTTTTCATTGTTACGATGCAATTTGTTTCAGGAATAATTTTTGCCAATGAAATGAAGGAGCCAAGGCTCAAGTCACTCACTGCTAATTTGCACCGCATGGGGGTGACAAACACAGTAGTTTGTAACTATGATGGCAAAGAGGTTAGATTATAAGTGCATAGTTTTGTTTTGATTGGTTTCAATTTTTTTTATCATGTATTGTTGTATAGGACTATTTCTGAGGATTATTGTGTTTTATTATGTTCTGCCCAATTTTATATCTTTTCTTTTTCTTCTGTTGATTAAATCCTCTATTTCAGCTCCCTAAGGTTCTGGGAGTCAACGCAGTTGATAGAGTTCTATTAGATGCTCCTTGCAGTGGGACAGGGGTAAGCAACTGGGGTGAATGTGCTACCATTTACTTGGCTTCGTGGATGTATGAAACGTAACAAGTCTTTTGTTGCAGGTTATATCTAAAGATGAGTCTGTTAAAACTTCTAAAAGCTCTGATGAAATTCATAAATGTGCTCACCTGCAGAAGGTATATTGTTCTCCGACTTGTGATTCTAGACCAAGAAGTTGGTCGAAAGTCAACAGTTATTATACGTGTCTATTACATTACAAAAGCAATTAACAATCTAATCTCTCCTTTTCTATTAAATTGAAAAATCAACTTTTACTCCCCTTTCCCAAAATATTTATGAGAAAATGTGGACCTTTTTTCATGTCAGATCGATGGCAGACCTATATATTTCTTTTTTCCTTTTTCAGTTAACGGTGTTTTCTTCTAAATTACTATATTCATTCATCATTTAGATCGCCTTTAAATTTTGTATTGTTTTTTCTGTAGCAACTGATACTTGCTGCCATTGACATGGTGGATGCAAATTCAAAATCCGGGGGATACATCGTGTACTCCACGTGCTCCATTTTGGTTGCTGAGGTTTGTTTATTGCACCCTAAGTTGTCTTTCTTGTTTTACTTGTTCCTTAATATTTATTTAACATGTCTTGCAGAATGAAGCAGTAATTGACTATGCACTCAAAAAGAGAAATGTTAAACTTGTCCCATGTGGACTTAGCTTTGGGGTTAAAGGGTAAAGATAATTCTCTTTTTGTGTCGCTCAGTTGTTGATGCAGAGAGTTTTACAGTTCTATACTAATGATTCTTTCTTTTTTATCAGGTTTGTCCGGTTCAGGGAACAGCGGTTTCACCCATCATTAGAGAACACGAGGCGATTTTACCCTCATGTTCACAATATGGATGGCTTTTTTGTGGCGAAGGTAAAATTGTGTGCACGTGTTAATTTTTTATCTTCCCTTTCTTTAGGTGAAAGTAAAGGGTTAAATACTAGAAGTCATGGGTCAGGGATCTCCTTGAATTGCGACCATAATTAGTTATTTGATTACTCAATGCTTGCAGCTGCAAAAGATGAGCAATTTGAAGCCATCTGCAGAAAAGTCTGAACTCGGTGAAACAGTGGAGAAAGCCCAAAACATGACTGAAGAAGAGAATGCTGAGGAAGATGACCAACAGATGTTGACAGAGGATGATACTAAAATTGAAAATAAGGTTCTGGAAAAAGAGGTTGCTGAAAATGGGAAACTAAAATCTCCAGGCACTACCAACCAAAAGAAGGAATCCCCCGTCACTTTGAAAAGGAGGAAGGGCGCTGGGTTAAGGTCGAAGGATATGAATTTCCCGGCTTTTTTCTCTCATCTGAATGGGAAAACCCCCTTGGAACAAAAACAAGAACAGAAAAAGAAATACCCGAAACTGAAGCACCCTCCTAGAGAGGAAATATCAAAAGCCAGGTAAAACATAGTTTCTATGGATAACTAGAGTTCTTTCCCATCATTTTTTATTCGGAACTAACCAACCTTTTTCAAAATTCTGCAGGGAAGAGAAGAGGAGAGCTGTCAGGGAAGGAAAATCTTCCAGCAACAAAGAATGACCGCCGGACTGAGTTCAATTGGCAATTACACTGATGTGCTGTGTTGATGCTTTACCAGCAAGCAACCTGAGTGGGGGATTTGTCATAGTATGCTCTCTTTGTAAGCTCCGGTTTGATACAAGTTGCCCTCTGTACTCTCTACAATTCCCTAAAGTTTTGTTTTATTCCGTTTGTCGTCGAACAGAAATGATTCCATGCGTATTGTACTAATGCAATGCTACAATGACTTCCATGTTTTAGTAATTAAACCAAGGCTGAAGGAACGCTGTGGTCTATAAATTGGCTTTTCAATCTGCTGACTTTTTTCCATGTGTACAATACAAACATAACAGCTTCGTTTTGTTTGCCCTAAACAATCGTCAGATGATAAACGATAGGAGATTCGAGTTCGGTGTCAATGGCACGCTGCCCTGCCAACCGAAGAGGCCCGTGTTTGCCTGTGTTCGTAGTTTGTCTCGTGAACTTGTGGTTGAATCAGGTTCCGCTATAGCAGTTACTCCAGTTTCCACAAGAACCATCCTCTTGGGCAATTGGATTTGGGTCGTGTTTTCTATGATAGTCATTACTCGTGCTGAGCTAGTTTTTGAAGATATTAGGTCATCTCTAACTGAAGGGGTTATACATAATCCCGTCTATAATTATAGCCCTACAAACAACTAGTTTTAAATATACGTGTCAAGCCATATTCATATATCTCCAACCAAAGGAGTTAAACATAGCTCCCAAATAATTTATTAGTTTTAAGTTTATATCTTAAATTTATTGGTTAGTTTAGTTAAACTACCGTTAAATGTTTTCAAATCCAGTTGTTGAAATTGAATCAATGATTACAACTGAGAAGCTTGATCCCAAAAAAGGACTAAGAGAGGGCTACATTTGGCCAACCTAACGCCTCTTCGGCCAAATAATAGCTTGTTGGGCTTCCATAAAATTATAGCCTAGTCATCGATTGGAGATGAGTTTTTGAATAAATCAGACAATTTTTTAGCTTTTGGACCTTTAGCCCTCTCAATTGGATATTGCCGTGCACGGTCCTAAACCCTAAACCCTAAACACTAAACAAATCAGACACTTTTATAGCTTTTGCACCTAAACTAGACGTATTTTTTCCAATGTCAGATCGTACCAGTGTCCAGTTACTCGTAAACGCGTTGAGACCATAGCATGTCACACGAAAGTGCCTCTCTCACGGGCTCGTGAAGAGAAACTAAAGACATTTTATGGTCAAGACATTGCAAGTTAAACCAAAAGGAGAGGGAGAGAGGGCAGACGAAGTGGAAGAAGAGGCGAGGAAGAATCATACATACAATTTTCACTTTGTCAATCTGTGTGTGTGTGAGAGAGAGAGAGAGAGAGAGAGAGAGAGAGAGAGATAGAGAGAGGAAAGAGGTATATTCATACATACAATTTTCAAACCATTTGTGAGAGAGGGAGAGACGAGAGGAGAGGAGGGGAGGAAAGAGGAAGAATCGAACATAAAATTTACACTTTGTCAATGTCACAGAGAGGGAGAGAGGAGAGGAAGAATAATACATAAAACTTACAGTCAATGTCACAGAGAGAGAGAGAGAGAGAGAGAGGGAGAGGGAGAGGGGGAGAGAGGGAGAGGGAGAGAGAGAGAGAGAGGAAGAAGGTGAACATACAAGAGTAGCACATCAAGGAATTGAGTGGAACATAAATGGCCATGGATTGAGAATACAACAGAGATGACCTAATCAACCCGAATTACAAGAGATGTACACATAAGAAATCCCTCTTCTAAAAAGTTAAAAATTGAAAAAAGGTAAAACTTTCCCTTTTCCTAAGCTTCAAAATTTTTGGCATCTCTAAGAACGAAAGCTAACTCCAAGACGTAAAGAACCTAATAAATGATTTGATACAAACACCGGAGATAACGAAGACCATAAATGATCAAGAAGCAGATCCTCCAACACAATCGCAATTCGAAAACACCATTACAAACAAAAGCAACAGCAAATAACAGCTTCAGCTCCACAAATATTTCCCATTTATGAAGCCTCAACCCTGTTATGCTTTATAATCCTCATCCCTGTTATTTCTGAAACAATTAAGTTATCATATTGCCTGTAGCTGCGAGAAGGAGATTCGAATTATTGACCCACCGATGGAAGTAGCATGCTTGCACACAAGTGCTTCAGTGGCCTGCTCCTCAGTTTCAAACATAACCAAGGCCTGCTTCTTTCCATTCATCTCAAAGAGCTTCGTGCTGACAATGGTCCCAATTTCCTCTAGGTGGCTCACAATCTCCTCTTCAGTGACTTCCTGGGGAAGAGAAGACAAGTGGATCATCTTTGTTGGGGAGCAGCAATAGCGGTAGTTCTTTGCTGCATTACGGTTGAAGCGGTTGAGATTTGAGTTCACATATTCATGTGTGTCAGCACCTTGCGTTATATTTGGATGCTTTGAGAAGTTGACCTCCAATCGCTTCCCAAACAGTAGTGCACCCTGCATCACAGGTATGAATTTGCATTGGTACCAGAAGGACAACTTTTCTCACTATAAGAAATGTGTGAAGAGGAAAAGTGTATCGGAGAATAGATGTTAGAATGTGAAGAAGAAATGAGAAAGAATATATAAAACTTTAACTGACGGGGAAAACGTCCATTTAACATTGTTTTTGGCTTTTGTTGTTTGTTTTTGTCGTGTGAATCATTGCAGGTAAATTTTCTTCTCCCTACTATCATCCCTAGTGTCAAACAAATGTCAGTATTCCCTCGTTTTCTTCTCTACCCTTGGTTACCAAAAATTAAAAAAAAAAACCAATAACGAAAACTCTGCCGGACTACTCAAAACCAAAGTTGAGTGGCACCAAAGACTGCATTATTCAACTTCTACGCCAAGCTTTCAGAGACTACTATCCAAACATAATTATAATAATGGTAGTAATAATCAACAATGTTAAACCTATTTTCAAACCTACTTTCAAACCTGAAAACCAACAAACAGATGCCACACATCTCTTGTCAAAGCTCTTTACAAGCCACATGACCAAAACAAAAGACCCCCAGACGGTTAAGCTTGCATCACTCACCAAAAAATACTATAATTCCATAGTGAGGTTGACCCCTAGGTATAAACACACTGTATCCTACAATAAATAAGAGAAGTTTAAACAACCACACCTTTAGAAAGTGTACTGCCAGTTCAGCCTGGAAGCCATCACCCATCTGGACAAGGGCATGGTCTGGCTTGTTCCGAAGAAGTTTAATTCTCACAATGTTTCCATAGATGGAAAACAGGTTAAAAAGCTTGTCCTCATCTATTTTCTGAAATAAAAAGTGCCGACATGTCAAGAATAAAGAACATAAGAGAAAGAAGGAAGAGTAGTAGTAGCATGACTTACATCAGGATTCAGATTGGAGACAAGGACTGTACACCTGTCGTTGGTTCCACTTATACCAGGAGGCAAACCTCCACCGAAGGCTGCTGCAATTGCAGCCGCATTTGGCATCTAGATTTAAGGGGAAAAAATGGTTAATTACTTATATTTTGCATTATAGTATGAATATAAACAGAGATACAATTAGGAAATGAAATCGACACACCCCTTTCCTATTGCATTATAGTATGAATATAAACAGAGATACAATTAGGAAATGAAATCGACACACCCCTTTCCTATTTCTGCATGCCCCTGTAAAATTCTGACCATTATTTTCCTTTGATTTATTCAATCCAAAGGCCAGAAAAAGAGAGAACCGTGTAGGGGGAGAAAATGGGGTGTGAAAATCATTTCCCATACAATTAAGGAACCACATACTGAATTGGAGATAACATCACAAAGTAGAAGCTATAATCTTTCTTGAAAAAAACATACATTTCCAACTTAAAAGGTGGGAACCATTTTAATTGGAATTAATGAGCCTCAAGATATTGAGAGGCTCCTTGCTTTAAATAGTCCTAGTGTTGCTCACTACTAGTTCAGAAACCATAAATATACAGAAACCTTGGTTAAGATCCTCTTTATAATAACCAATGTAGGCCAAGGCGATCCAAAGATTTTTTTCGTTTTTCAATGTCTAGTTGCAAAGGTATCAGCAGACATCTTATCTTATGCCCCCAAATAATGTAATATCTCAAATGACCAACTTCCCCCCACTCACTACCGAAACAAACTGAAGGAGATCCCCAAAAGCAGTAGGCACATTTCAAATTAAACAAGCATGAGCTGACACAAACACGGTGGAGTTCCAGAAACCATGCGGTCAATTTCACATTTAAGAGCAAAAAGAATGAAAACACAAGGAAAAAGTCATCCACTAGACATCCTAAATATTTTCCACAAAATTGCTGGTAATATCCTCAGCTCCGGTTTATCTCATACACATCCAAGACAGTCTGAACAATACCCACCTGCGGAAATCCAACTGAAACACGAAAATGAACACAGATATTAATAAATTATTGTAGATCACAAGATTGCTGCAATAAAAAAAAAAAACCTGAGAAATAAAGCACCTGCCCTGGCTCCAGTACCTTGAAGGCCATACATGCCTCCTGCATCACCATATCCAGACTGTAGCACAAAGTGAACAGAAATATAATACAAAGGGTTAGATAACTAGCAAGGATATAACATATGAATTTGAAATAAACAACAAAATGCAGTGGAACACACTTGTGGAGATCTTCCTTTTTGTTCTGAAGGCAAATTGGGATTTGTGAAATCCCTAGGCAAAGGATGAAAGAAAAAAAATGATTCAGCACTAACAGCAGGATAACGTCAAAAAGATAAAGAAGATAAAACTAAGTCCATCAGATTCCAACAAACCTTGAACGCTCATTATTGTAGTTCACTTGTAATTCGTCAAGGCTGGATTATGATGAGAATAATGAACAAATTAATATTATCAGTAGATAATGAGAAAGAAATATGACCAATCCAAGCATATAAATTGAATCCACAAATGATAAAAGGTTTGAAACCTACTTTGAGAACTGAATGTCTAGTTGACAACAACCATCATAAATATTACGTCCCTGTAGAGCAGATATGTTAACCAACGCTCAACAATTAACAGAACTAGGATGCAGCCTTTAAACAAAGTCTCCGTCCAAGCTGCAAAGCAATATGGATGTTTGAAGAATACCTGCAGGGCTGTTCTAGCTGCAACAGCACTCTGGCGGGATTGATACTGAATTAGGGCCTGAAAACCTACATGGTTGCACAAACAGGATGGAAAATACATTACAACAAATAAAGCATCCATGCACTGTTTGTCAGTAAGTCCTTTTTTCAATTACAAGGCATAAGGTTTGCAAACAGAATCATT